ACCCCGCTCCACCCCTAACCCGCGCCGGCCGCGAATATGTCGGAATTTAATTATTTCGCACGGCGCCGCCCGCTCGCGCGGTGGTAGTGTGAAATGCCGCGGATATTTCGCGACCTGTGCGGAGGAGAGTGCGTTGCGTGTTCACCGTGGCGGTCGGAGGGGCATTTTGCAGTGTGTTTCTCCAGGAGCTATTATACGTACTAGGGCGTTGCGTTTTCTCCATATGTAACGGCTATCGTAAGAGCGAGGTTCGATTGTCTTCTGGTATCTGTTTCCGGTACCGCAAACTTGCTCGCGTTCTGTTTAATGAGCAGCGTGGCACGGTGTTAGACACTTCCACCAAACCCACCAGCTAGCAAAGAGAGAAATATAAATGGAAGGGACTTGGAGTCAACATCGAGTATCCAATTTCCATCACGTGGATTTGATGCCTTTCCCATGAAATCTAAATCTCTTTCACTAGGAAACCACGTGGATAAGTCGAACGTGCTATGGCAACGCGGGGAATGGGTAAATATTTGGGATATGTGGAAAACCGGGAAGAGGTGCTAGAAGGGAAGTATTTGGTGGAAATTGTTTTGGGATTGGGTCGCTTATCGAGGTACACTGGGTTTGGTACAAATGTGCTCCCGTTTTGTAACTATCTGATCCAACCGTTTGAGTTTTGATGTAAAGAAAAGTGGTCTCGAAAGAGGTCTGTTTCACTCCCACGTCGAATACAGTAGCCACGTCAAGACCGCCGACCGCCACAGTTGGCGCCTCGAAAATGAGGAGAGAAACTATCGCTTTCCCCGTCCGCACGTGCACATTCTCTTTTATCGCGCCATTAGCGCGGGGGCGGGGTGCAGGCCCTGCCCGAAAGAAGAAAGAGTTGCCCTGCGGAGCCGCCGCGCCACCTGGCCGGCCCGCCGCCCGCAGGTCCCGCCCGGCACTAATAAGGCAACAGGTGACTGTCCTGGCGGCTGAATGGCCTCGTGGGGCGGCGGGAGGGAGCGGGCGGGCGCAATAAGGGGCGGGCACAGGCGCGGGCACAGGGGAAGGTCCAGAGGTGGGCACAGGGGCAGGCAGTGTCGGGTACAGGGGATAGGTCCAGAGGTGGGCCTAGGGATGGGCACATGGGCGGGTGCAGTGGCGGGCACAGGGGTAGGTCCAGAGGTGGGCCCAAAGGTTGGTCTAGGGGGCGGGCCCAGAAGTAGGTCCAGAGGTGGGCCTATAAGGGGCGGGCCCAGTGGTGTTCCAGTGGCGAGCCCAGTAGCGGGCCCAGGAGTAGGTCCAGGGTTGGCCCAGCGGTGGGTCTAGGGGGGGCCTCAGGATGGGTCCAGTGGCTGGCCCACGGTTAGGTCCAGAGGTCCAGAAGACGGCCGGAGGGCAGGCCACGCGGACCGCCACTGCCACTAAGAACTGGCGACCGGCACACTCCGCTGCCGTGCATTTCTCAGCCCGTTTCGCAGTGTGCAGCCAGCCTGCCCCGCCCTCCGCTCAGCTCCCTGGGCGGCCGTAGCGCGCGCGCTTATTTCCCTGCAGACACATCCCCCCTCCCTCCGCTCTTTGCCGTAATTATTTTTCCTCGTCGTCATACATGCTACATGTAACAAGGGCTGGCGTATCTGCGCCGCACGCACGCGGCTTGAGGGGACGCCACCGCAGCCAGGGCCAAATTTGGATAAGAGGATTAGGCGGAATGTGACTCGGACCCGGGGGTAAAAAAGGGGACCAGGGGAGGAGGAAAAGTGGGATGACTGGTGGTGACAAATTGGATCCGGCTACGAGTCGACGATCCGAAATACGCGGGCTACGATGTCTTGTGTGAATTCAAACGAAACCTTAAAGATAAATTTGATATTGGAAACGAAACACGATGTTGACTTAGGTGTGAAGGTCTGTTTTGTCGATAGTGTCAAACATGTTAATTTTGATTGTTCATCTGAAAAAGCCTATTATGCCGGCAAACAAGTAACGCTTTGCGTGTGCATGTGTGTGCGTGTGCGCGCGTGTTTTTGTAGGAGAGGCCGAAGAAAAAAGAGAGGATGGAGTGGGTGTGTGATGTCGACGCAAAGATAGCCCGTGTACTGCCGGGCCATAAAGTAGAGTATTGCAGGGCGAAAGCTTTCAGCCTTGATTTCCTCCCCCTGCTCCGGGTCCACCCCCCCCCTCCCTCCCTTGCTTGTTCTGCTGTTCCTCGGGCCTGGACACCCCCAGTGAATACAGAGCAGCGCGGTCGCTGCGCAGTCTTAAGGCGGTCACCGGGCAAAGAACGCGCTATCGATGGAGTGCCGCCCCGCCCCTCCCCCGGGCGCGCCGTGCTGCGCTGGCGGTTATTGACGGCGGGGCACATCCCCCCAGCGGGTTGATTCAAAGGCTTTGGCGGCGAAGGGCCGCTGACCCCAGTGACCCGACTGTGACCTGTGGGCTACCTGCTAGTGCGGCAATGGCTTTATTTCTTCTGCTCACTAGTTCCATGTATGTAAACCCAATGTGGAGTAGAAAATGTAATAGCGTAGGCCTATAATGCAACTTAGTCGTTCTTTTGTAGGACACCTTGAGTTTTGGCATAATTTTCCTGCAAAAGGGGGGGGGGCAGGCAGGAGGTATCCAATAGGTGCCTTACTTTGGTGGGCGAAAACCAAGTTAAGGCGCTTTCTTACTGGGCAACATTTGCCTTGGCCCCTCTGCAGAAAAGGGTGCCAAATCTCAAGGTGTCCTACAAAAGTCGCACAGACCCAGATTTTCAGTGTAGGC